GACACCCATCAGCACCAGTCACACCAGTCCCAGACCTAGACAGGATAGTTCTGTGCCTTTCACCAAATGCAGTATCCTAGCACTTAACGCCACAATTCAGAGAGATATCAGTGCAAATGACACAGTGCAGCTGCTTCTCGAGTTTAGAGAATTTCAAACACGAATTGACTGGGCATGTTACCTGGTTTCAGGTGGGCAAATGGGATTTCCCCCGTCAGCAGCTCCCAGAGGCACAGGGCGTAGCTGAACACGTCGGCTTTGATGGTGTACCTGGTGCACTGGGTGAACACCTCCGGGGCCATCCAGCGCAGGTTCTGCCACCAGGGAACAGCACTCACACGTCAGCAGGGTTTGCCTCCTCACACAAGCACCCACTCCTCTATCCATGTTTGTTTTCCTTTGTTTCCTTATCTCCTGCCTCCATCACTCCATAAAGCCATTGGTAATCTGCCAGGAGAAGCTTCCACCTGGCTTGCCAATCCAGTCAGTGTCACTGTGCATGACATGTAAGTGCATTATCTTGGTGCTGTCTCAGCTCCACAGAGCCAGGCTGAGCTGGCTTTAAATATCACAGTAGGCTGAGAATACAAACAGAACCTCAGGCTCTGGGATCATCACACGGTGCATGTGGCCACAGAACAGGAATTAGCCTCTGGCAGGACTGAAAGCTGCCAACAGCTGCACGGGGCTGGGGGCTGCTCTGGGGGCCCTGCTGCTCCCTGCAGACCCCCAGTTCTGAGGCTGCTGGACAAGGAACTCTCCCTGGGCTGAGGGGTTCAGGTGCATTTTTAGAGTCCTTGTGCTCCTTTCTCTCCAGCCACACAGTGAGTGCCACTGCAGAGTTAAAGGGCTGGTTCCAGGGCCAGCACCACCATCCTCTGGCACTGCCACCCCATCACCCAGCCCACCCCACATCAACAGCTGCGATGATGTGAACATTCCTGGCCAGGGAGTGACACACGGGACACGCCTGGACTCAAACCCATGGAGACCAAATCTTGTAAATCTGACTGGGAGCAACAGTGAATAAAATCGGGGAGCCAGTGCTGAGGAACTAATTCCCTGCTAGAACAGGGAACCACCTGCCAACAGCAGTGACTGGGGAAAAGTGGATTAAAAATAACTCTGTAGTAAGGAATTGGGGCAGTAGAGCTCCAAAGACAGCCTTATAAAGCATTGTTTCTGCTGCAGATGTTATGCATTCCCTCATCTCTGCTATTAAAGACAGAGGAAAAAAAACCAAGACTGAGAAACACTGAGAGAGATTAAATACTACACCAGTCCATCTTTTCCAACAAACATATTTCCAATGTCTTCTTCTCCTAAACTGTGTGTGCCTGTATGTTTGATATTAATTATGTGGAACAGAGCAAGGAACAAACCCCAGGTTGTTTTGTCATGTTGTCTTCATCCAGGGATTGCAGAAATCGAGACTCTGAAACACAGAAAGAAAAAGAATTACTCTCAGGCCAATGCAGACACACACCTTATTGTACTATTATATTATATATAATATAATATATACTAATATTATATTAATATCAATATATTATATTATACTATACTTATTACATTACAGTCCTACCTTAAGTCCACAGGACCCTCTCAGTAAGCACATATTTAGTTTTAGAGAATTTGGGTTAATTTATAAGTGTTTCATAAAAACTCCTTACCTCCAAAATCAGCAACTACTGCATGACCATCCTCATACAGGAGAATATTGTGACTGGGAAAGAAAAACCAAACAAACTATAGGTAATTGTTTGATAGGGTCTTACAGATGGTGAAAATGTTACAGGTTTTGGGTCATAGGTAAACATCTGAGTTCAAATCCCCTCCTTGGGTAGCCAAATGTCCTTAGGTACATCCTGCATTTATTGTTGGAAAGTACACATTACCCCTGAGAGGGCAAGCCAGCCTTTGACTGATTTGTATGCAACAAATCCAGAGAGAGACTTCTGGAAACTGGCAACAAAAACACAGGGTTTCCAACAAAATAGAAACCTGGGGACAGACCCACAAGCTGCTTTAGCCAGGTCCCATAGCTCTGGAAATAAAGATTCCCCTGCCCAGGCACTGCACCCTCACAGCACAGGGCTCTGGAAGGGCTGAGCAAATCACAGCATTAGTAATGTGGAATTCCTGCTCTCAGGATATTTATCAAATGCTGACTGAGCCAAGAAAATTCAGAAAAGTGAAAAGTGAATGAAAAACAGAAATGAAAAGGTTGGCAAGAGTTTACATGAGGAGGGGAAATGGAAGTAATATTGATTGATATTTGTCTCAACAAAAAGCACAACTTGCTCATATTAGAGCTGCAGAAACAAACAAGAACAGTCAAGTGAGGAACACAAATTTTACCAAATTACAGTTTTAGGACAGAAAAAAAAAATTAAGCTCTCCCAAGCAGGACTCCCACAAATCACTGTCTTCAAGATTTCCACCTTCACCTAAACCCAACCCTGGGGATGAAAAATTTAATCATTAAAATGTAACCTTGCCTCTCTTGATTTATATTCAATCTGATTTTAGCTCTCATATGTGCTTTCCATCAAAATATTGATGTGATTTTAGTATGACATGTGGAATTGTTTTGAGACCCACACCACATGCCAAATGAAAATATGAATCAAAGCCAAGGCTGAGCCAGGGGGGCTCCTGGGGGCTGTGCCCCAGGCTGGCTGCAGGTACACAAGCCACACAAAGCTGCACACTTTGCTGTGCTCTTTGCTCAGATTTGGCCTCTGTCAGTGGGGACAAGAATTATCACCATGTCTCAATGTGAATAAACTGCACTGAGCCCTAGCTTCAACTTCAATCTATCCCAGGACTGTGCAGACTTGAATAAATCCAACTTGACAAGTCAAGACATAATCAAGGCCTAGACTGACAGTTTTTGTGGAGAAGCAGAGAAATCAATTGAAATTCCCTTTCTCCTCATGGCATGCATCAGCCTTTCACAGAATCACACAATCTTTGAGACTGCAAAAGTCTCCAAGACCTCCAAGACCACCGAGTCCAACCTGTGAGCAATCCCCCCCTGGTCCCAGCCCAGAGCCACCTGCAGGGATGGGAACTGCACACTGCCCTGGGCAGCTCCTCCAAGCCTGACCACCCTTCCAGGGAACAAATCCTCCCTGATGCCCAACCTGAACCTCCCCTGGCCCAGCACAAGCAGTGTTGGAATGCTCATCTTGGTGCTGAGTGTGCTGATGGGCATGTCTGAGAGCAGCAGGCACCTGGGCACCTCCCCAGCCACTCTGGCACCTCCAGGGAACCCTACAGCCACTGACTTCTCTTTGTCAAAGTGAAAAAATACACAGAAATAAGGCTTGGAAGGTACATCTGAAAAATGCTGCTATTGCCTCAGTGGCACTTGAAAATTTGAAAGCCTCAGATGAAACAGGTACTCTTAGGCTTGTGTTTTGAGAAATACAGTGAGAAAAATGCAAGCTGAACTGAGCTGGCAGAAGACTAATACTGGATTCAGCAGGATCAGAAATGAATTGTCTTCTGTTAAGGGCACACAGGGATGGCAGTGGTGAGAGCAGGCACTGTTCTCTTGGTGAAGCCATGGAAAGAGGAAAACGAGGAGTGTGCAATCACCCTGGCTTTGTGAAAGGCTCTGGGGAACCAGGCACGGAGGCTTCTCCCTGCCATGGCAAGTGACAGGCTCAGGTGTCCCTTTCCCAGGGATCCAGGCCATTAAAGGATCCTTCTGCCTTTAACAGGCTGTGGGTGGAATGAAAAGCAATGAATATTTTAAGATATCACAAGGGGTATTTCAACAAAGAGGAGTCACAGACTCCATCCCCATTGCCACCAGGCTGCCATCCTCTGTCTCATCTCCCTCCCCAGGCAGCTCTCAGAAATGTTCACAGGCACTCAGAGTCATCAAAAGCAGCTCAGTCACTCAAAGGCTTCCTCCAGCCACATTCAGCTGTTATGGCTCAAATTAAATGGATCCTAAAATGGTCCCTCTTTTATTAAAGTGCTGTAATCATCGTGGCTGCCATCCCTCACCATGGTGTGAGTAGTAATAAGGTGATGCATGTCACCGTTTCTGATGGCTGTCAGAATGAAAAGCAAAATAAAACTCCCAATTATTCTTTAAATGGAAGGATAACCCCTTTTCCAGGGTAGAGACACGAAAGATTAATTTTCTTCTCTATTCTGTCAAGCCATATTGCAGGTTTATTTAATGCATTATGTGCAGTGCATTAGATTTCAGAACTCACAAAGGCGGCTGAGTTATGTGGAAATTTAAGGTAAAAAATATGAGGCTCCTGTGAAGCCACGGGCAAAACTTAACACAGAATTTCACTCTTAGTCTTTCTCTTTCTCTTAAGCTGTTGCAAAGATTTTCGTCTGGTAATTGTGCCTGTGGGTTGGCTGGGACTCACACTGCAAACGTGACTCCTGCTCTTGCACTAAACTTCCAGAAGTTGAGCTCTCAGCAGCACCAATGGCACCAACAACCCCAGAGCACGTTATCTCCTGCCCCTCACAAACCTGACCTGTGTGAGCTCTGTGGGGCTCTCCAGGAAGACACTGCTTTGGGCTTTCTTTTGTGGAAATCATTATTTAAAATCCTTCCGTGCAGAAGTGTTCTTCTGAGAGCCACCAAAGCATGGAGCTGCCCTG